TTTTAAAATGAGATTTTTTATTATATATCTAATTATTATAAATTTATTATAATTTTTTACAATTAAAAAAAATAATTTGAAAAAAATTACCAAATATACATATCTAACAACACTGTACTATACAAAATAACTCCAAACCACAACCCAAATATTCCCTAAAAAACTTACAAAAATTATTTGAAAATTTATTTATATCATGGTGGACTAACCGGACATGGGAATTCTATCCCTCCTATGACTCAAACTCAACGATTTTGCCCTGCTCATATACAACTTTTTCACATTAGATCTCTGATCATTCAACAACCTCACTAAACTCCTCTTCGCATTTGCCCTAAACGGACAATTTGATGCCAAGAACCCATCCACCAAGTGTAAATACGCTTCCAAGTCATGGCAACATGCCACATCCGCATTCGGCTTCAAGTACGGTGACATCCTCGTATCCAGTCGAAGCTCCGTTCCCACATGGGTGTACGCCCACATTTTCCCAAACCTTGTGTTTTTCGACTCTTGCTCCCGTTCTTCGCCCACGAATGCGCCGGGGACTCTGGTGATTAGGTCTTGATTGTTTACGATTCGGAGCACTTTTACGTTCTTTGAACTGATACGGTTCGCGAAGCCCGGATTTCCTACCCGAGGCCCTCCGAATGAAAACACGGCAATAGGGGGTACTTCAGGTGCACATGAGGCTAATTCGTCGGCCACTAGGAGAGCTAGTGCCGCGCCGAGGCTGTGGCCGGTGACGGTAATGCTTAAGGTCTCACCTTTGTAGAGTTCCATCAGCCGCCGTACTTCGCCAACGACGGCCTCCGCCAGGCTTGGCACGTGAGATCCGCTCGTCTTGTGTAAACTCAAGAACCCGCATTCTACTTTCTGGGTTGGGTCGTTGTTTTCAGGGATTTCGACTAATTGGGCTCGAAGATTTTCGGCCCATTCTAAACACGTGGCAGTCCCTCGCAGCGCGATGACAATGTCCCTCCTTCCCATCCGTTGGATCTCCCTTCTGTTGTCGCAAACGGCGACGTATCCAATCCAGCTGGACCTCTGCGTCATCCACCCAAGATCTGGTGCCACGTTATCTACCCACTTGGGTAGGCCGAGGGATGACGTGGCGTAGAGACTCTTCGTCATCTTATAAAACCTATCTGGCAAGGCCACGTGTCTAGGCAGTGGGGCCTCCTCGACGGGCGTGGCAGGGTTTGAATGGAAGGCGTGGTAAGCGGCCTGAATGAACTCGCCGTACCTAACCACCTCGCGGCGGAGGTTCTCGTCGAGCGGGTCGATCAAACCCGCCCAATCTTTGCAACCGTGGTACTCGCGCCATCGGGAACCGAGGTTGTTCCTGGGGGAATACTCCTGCGTCTTGGATAAAAGACGCTGGAGACGATTCAAATGCCTTGGCGACATTTCTTCAGCAGCTTTGGCTTCATCCCAAAGCCTAGCCAAATTAAGCCCTTCGAGAAAGCCTCTCCCCTTGTTTTCCATCGACCCATTGTCGGAGACTTTGTTAATGACTTCTACAGGGTCGACGGGTTGGGTAGTTTTCAGGAGGAGTTTGTCGAGGTTGGAGAGGTGTTGCCGATTCAACTCAGTTGATGATGATGTTGCTCTAGGTTGGGGTTTCGCTGAAGGGTTTAGCGGCGACAGTAGCCGGTATTGGAAGGCGGCGCGTTTGGTATGAAAGGAGTGCAGGTTTTGCGACGGAAGCGTGGAGCTGATCATCTGCATCGGGAGGAGGAGTCAAATTGAGAAATAATTAAGGAGAAAAAGCTTCTGGCATGAAAGTGAAACCAGTGGATAGGAACGAATCAAGGCTTGTATTTATGTGTGGATAATGGCTGAAACGCCCTCAGTTTATAATTTAAAAGTAGGAAAAAGTTTAGTTCGTTAGGGGGTATAGTAAGAAATGAAGATGGCTTGACCATTTCGGTCAACTCCTTGGGGGCTCGAGAGCTTGATGTCTAAATTGACTGAAACACCCATTTGACGTTGCCCGTTCTTGCTCTGCAAATCTCAAAATTGAATTGGTTGACGCACAACCTTACTTTTGGTTCAGGTTAGAATTAGATATCTAACTACCTAAAATGATGAT